CTTCTTGCTCCTAGTAGTAAGGCCAGGAGCCCCTAGTAGCGTCCTTGTTCCTAGTAGCGATGCCCTTTGCTCCTAGTAGCTTCTTGCTCCTACCAGCACCACCAAATACCATCAAATACCACTGGATACCACTGGCACTACCAGCATCCTGAAACCTCAGCACTGAGAAACGAGTCACGCCACACCACCTCCAGCAAGCACCGCCGCGCGCCTTTAGGCCTTGGCACAATGTCCCAAAACCCAAAACAAACAGTGACCAGGTCAGTGCAAGTTGGTCCAGTGTCGGAAAACAATATCGTTCTTCAGCATCCCCTTTGCACTCTACACCACTCTCCAACATGATGAGGTGAAAACTGTGGAACTTCACCCATCAGGCCAACCATCATCGAAGCGGCCTGAGGCAGCTGAGGCAGCTTGGGCAGCTGTGACGGCTCCCTCCTCTGTCTTCTTCCCTCTCTTCCGCATGGCGACGATGCGACAGGCCAGGAGGGCAAGTTGCGCGGCTTCCGCTGGTCGATGTTGGCCCAAGTTGTGAAGGCCGTGATCTGATTGTCTGCACGTTGGAATGTTCGATCCGACAAAAAAAGGGGTGAAGGAGTGCAAGTCTTTCTTCTTGAAAAGTTGCGGATCACTTTCATGGTTGGGGTCCCTACCCTGAGGCCCTTGGCTCACATACAAACAGTTGCTTGCAGCTTCATTGCTTTGTCATATTCGATACTTTGGGCAAAGCAAGAGCAGAAGTTGCATGACCACTGGTTGCCGCACGATAAACATATGCCATCTAAGATGTCTGATAGTTTTTCAACACACAGAACACCCTGGCGCTTCGAGATCTCCTTTTCATGCGTGTGTACTGGGAGGTGCAGCTCTACTTTCCACGGTGAGTTCAGCTTTGCTCGCCGATGCTTGCACCACCTCGACGCAAAGCCAAGACGAAGGCTCATGCAGCCAACAGCCTAACCGCCTAACCGTTCCTACCGCTCCCAAAGAGCCAACGTCGCATCCCAAAGCATTCACCCCAACCTCGGCATTTGCTCGATCCACTTCTTCACAGCGTCGATCAATCTCTTCCGCCGTGTAGCCTTCGCAAAATTTCTCCGGGAGCATGCCACAAGCAGGCAACAAAACAAAAACAAGACTGCTCGACCTGCCATAACTGCTCAAAACCCCAAGAGCTAAGACTGTCTGCCACACTGCTTGCGAAATGATCTGCATATGCAGCATGCATTTCACCAAGAAAATTCGCACCTGGAATGACCTTGTTTCGCTCCTTCACGTTCTGCACGCAGTCCTCCCCAGAAGAAATGTGGCAGCCCAAACAAACAAACAAACAAAACAAAACCAACAAACAACCAAAAGGACTTCGATTTTGGTTACTTCCAACGCCAGGGAGAGTTGGCTTCACCTCACGTCGATTCATTTGGAGCCAAACGGTTTCCACACAAAATGACGCATTGCAAGCGCAATAATAGAAAGTACACCTTTTGCACTACAACCGCAGACAGCCCTCAGAGAGATCACTCTCCTCCAAATCTGCATCAATGTAAATGGTGAAGTCGAAGAGCTGGTCCATTCCTTTCCACCTGCGTGTTTCACCGCCAGCTCGCCACGTGTGGCGTCTGGCGTGTGGCAGTGGAGTTCCCCCCTGTTCCTGTGGAAGGTGGCCCTTGGTGGTTTTTCAGAAGTGGAGTTCACCCCTTGTTTCTAAGGGACTGTGACCTTTGCGGCCGGGCAGCCCATCTCGCTGATGAAGCAGGTACAAGCCCTCCACCAACACAATCTGATGTCGGCTGCGTTCAAAGCAGATCGTATCAAAAGTAGGATCTCCGTGAGCCTGAGAACACGAGAAGTTTACAGTAAGTCTGTTATTGTTGAGAGAGGACTCAGGAATTGATGCATTCAAGCAACATGATCAAAGTCGGGCAAAAGCACCTGGTCTGGACCTGACCTGATTTCCAGCAACTTCTCCTTCAAGGCTTTTGGATCAAAGGTGTCAGCCGCACCACGCCGGTAAATCGCATCATCCGCATCCACCCTCGACTTCAATTCGCTTAAGGGTATGTGAAAGCCATCCATGGGAACCACCAAACAACGAGGATGCAACAAACGTTTGAGTATCTCTGCTGTGACCGTCTTGCCACATCCCGGCATCCCAGCCAAGGCCACCAAAAACGGCCGCTGTTCTCTCTCGGAGAACGCTCTCGCACGGTCCAGCAACTGACCTGCCAGAGCTGTTTCCCACTCCAGCGGAAAGAGATGCCCCTGATCCAACTCTGAAAGGAACTCCGCCACGGACAACATGAACTGCGCCTGCCCTTCCGCGGTGCGAACGCCATGACCGCCGCTGCCCAAGACCACCACCTTGGCTCCTCCGCCCGGACCCACGGCCATGGCATCGGCCATGCGACGGCCCAGCGCGGCGGAATCCACGAAGGAGGGCACGTATTCATCGTCCGCGGAGAGGGCCAGCAAGCACGGCACAGTGACATGGCCCAGCTTTTCCACCAGTTCCTCCTCCAAGAGATCCGAGGAAAACAGATCGTCGTCGCCCATGCGCCGCGTCAGTGAGTCGAAGCGGTACGCCGTGATGGCATCGGGCGGGCCGAAGAGCGCGCAGGCCCGGCGCGGGAGCAGCTCGTCACCGTGGCCCTCGGAGATCAGCTGCTTCGCGAGGTCCTTGAAGTGGGCCAAGGCTTCGAGATCCTCTGGGCTGCGTTCTTCGGCCAGTAAGGCTTCTCGGTCGCTCACCGGAGCTTGCAAGATGATTCCATGAATCAAAGACTTGCGCTGCCCCCTCTTCAGATAATGCACTGCATCCTGGCAACCGGTGGACGAGCCCAACAAGACGACCTTGGAAATCCCACGTTTGGAGGCCAAGAAATCCAAGAACTTGTCCAGTCCTGCGACATCTTCATCAAGGCTATTGAAGCCCCAGCCCCTATAACTGCTCTGCAACACCGGTTGGAAGCTTCGCCACCCCCGAGGTCGGAGGGCCTCTGCCAGGTAAGGCAGGTATCGAAGGCTCAACAAACCATCCGTCAATCCACCAATGAAGACCAGGGCTTTGGGTCCTTCACCGCGGCCACCTGCTTCAAATCCGGCATATCCAAAGTTCTCATCATATAAAAAGAGTTCCCCCTCACTCGCAGTTTCAGATGCTGCGCTCATGCGCGCGTTCCGTGGCCGTGATCGTGTCGACGGACAGGTACCAAGAAAAGCAAGTGCAAACAAACAACGAGCACTTCCCGTGCCAGACCGTTGGAGAGTTGGGTTCGCAACAAAGTGAGGAGAGCTGTGCTGGCCAAAACGCGCTACCCGGTGCAACGTGCAGGTTGCAAAGGGGGCTGCTTGCATGCACTGTGGCTCAGACAAACACAAGAAAATGTTTGAACGCAAAGCTGAACGAGCCAAATCTCTCACATGTCATATGTTGCAACTCACACGTGTGCTCTTAAAAAGGATCCAGTTCAAGAATGAAGGACAGCAGTTGGTCAGCAAAATAAACAGTTTCTTCTTCTTGTTGTTTGCACGTGGCTTCAACCACAAACGGCCACCGCTGAGTGACCGCGTGAGTACAGGGTAGGTGACCGGAAAGGAATTCAGAACTTTCATCCCCTGAAGGGAGAGAGAGAGAGAGAGGGTGTGAGAGAGAGAGAGAGAGCGAGAGGGAGAGGGAGAGGGAGAGTGAGAGAGTGAGAGAGAGAGAGAGTGAGAGAGGTGCTCCCAGCTACGAGCCCAGCGTCCAAGGAGACACCAAACGAGAAAGGAAGGAGACGAAGGTGTTCCCAGCTACCACTCAAGCGTCCAAGGACACACCCGTCAAGAAAAGGAGAGAGAGCGAGAGAGAGAGAGAGAGAGGTGCTCCCAGCTACGAAACAAGCGTCCAGGGACACACCAAAGAGGAGCGGGGAGCGGAGAAGGAGGAATCAACTGAGATACTAAGGCTCCAACAGGTCCCAATGGACCTTAAACTTGCTTTGGCCGCTGTGGTCACCTTGTGCCCTGCCGAAACGGCTGGCTGCTTGGACCACCTTGGAATTCCAATGATGGGACAAATCATCGTACGTACGGCCTAGGCCACCTTCGTCCGCTGTGGACACGTACATCTCCGGGCAGGGGAGATAACGACATACACCCGTTCGACGGGTCCACGGGAGGCACTCTGCGGGCTCATCCCGGGTTGGAGGTCCATCAAGTTCAGCGAGGCCATCAATGCTAGAGGAACCACCGGACGATCGATCGACAGAATGACGGCGTACGCTCACATCTGCAGTGCAAGAAAACATCAAAGCTTCAACTCTTCGAGGTTCTTGGCTTAGCCTCACGCCATGCAGAAAATGGGAAAATTTGCAGGTACGTCGACAGGACGTCTCCCGTCGATATCACGAGCAAGAGATAGGTGTCTTCGTTGGCACCTGCCCTATCTCTGCTCCAGGTGCCCCTTGCTATGGAAAAAAGCTGAGCAAATCCAAAAGGATCCCTATGATTCCAAGGGTTACACACACACACTTACTTCAATCCTTTCACATACTTCATCGTACTTCACTTCAACATTTTTTGAACTATATCACGCCGCCTTGCCGGTGGGATTCGGACTCGGATGATTCATATGAAGTGGTCTACTACTGTCATCTGCCTACCGTTACCCCACATTCCCGTCGGCATCCATTTCAGTTAAATGCCAAGAACATGTGTGATGGTGATTATGGACATCTGAACCGAACAAGTCACAAAGCCGTTGATACGAAAGGATTGCAGACGTCCACTTAGCAAGAGAATCCTAGAAGTGTCACACCACGCCCTTTCTCAGTCTGATGCCGACAGACTAGTCCTCTTTTTGCGCGACGTCACTAGGACGCTAGGCCCAGCAGCGGCCAAACAGCTGCAATTCCGTTGCCTCTTCGCAATTCAAATACGCGCAGGAGCACAACAACTCGCCGCGCAAGAGCCGGAGGTGCAGCTGTTTTTCAGGCTGAGGGAAGGAAACAGAAACCTTGAAACTGTGGGAACAGTTCCAGGAACCCTGTTTGGTTCCTGGGTAAAACCATAATTGTATAAACACTACCGAAGCTGCGATGACTCGCTGAGCCACTTCTCGAAGCCTTTTGTGAAATCTTCTTCCTTCAACTCGTTTATCTCCCGCTTCCACTCTATTCTGCTGAGACTGCCTCTTTTCTGTTCCATCCTAAGAGCTTTCTCCTTTTCTGCAGCAAACAGCAGATGGTCACAAAGGCCAGCATTGTACTGTGAAATGATTGACTCGTAGACCTTCTCCCCATCTGGTCCTTGACGTTCCAGAGACGGGTTGGAGCAGTTTTTGTCAAGAAGCTCCAGAAATTTCTGTTCTGCTGCTTGATCAAGAACGTACCCCCTCTCATGTGCCTGCCTGTTGCAAATTTTGGTTAGCTCATGCGGCGTGTAGTCATCAAGCTTAATTATTTGATAAAATCGACGCGGCAGCCCATTGTTCATGAGGAAGAGCTTCTGCATCTCATCTGGGTAGCCCGCCAAAATCAAAATGAAGTCATTGGTCGCATTCAATCTCAGCAAGATCTCTTCCACTGCGTCACTTGAGCTGCTAAGTCTGTAAGCCTCATCAACGAATAGAATTCCATCCTTTGCTTTCTGCATCCTCAGTTCTCAAAGAAGCATTCCTTTATTTGGAATTCTGGGAAGTAACTGTCTGTGGACGTGTGTAAACAGAAAAACAAATGTATACTGTATACTGTAGACGTTGTCTGAATGTCTGCCGCTCAACATTCTGCGCCGTTTGCTTGGAGCTCTCTCCCACTAAGTCACCACGCAAAGCCTCAACCACATGGCCTTGACCGCAGACGTTCAATGATCTAACTCTTCTCAGATTCACATCAGCTATTCAAACACCATATGCCGCAGTCTCTTACTTTGCAAGAATCGACCACATGAGTTTCTGTGGTTCTACCTGCCCCAGTCTCACCCACTCTCCCTCAAAAAAAAGAGGGCAGGACAGGGACCCGGCCACTCTTTGCAAGGCCAAAGCTTTTGAAGATGTCACCCAGCTTTTTTGCGACCATCGTTTTGCCAGTTCCAGGATTACCAATGAAGACCTACAGCTGTCACTGGTCCCTGGAGAAAAATATATAGATGCTTTAGATTTAGTCTTTGGTTGATTCTGATGTTGCTGTCCTTTTCAGTCCAACACTCCACAGTCCAAGGAATCATGAGCCAAGCCCTGAAAAAGACTGAGGCGTGGGCTGTGTGCATGAGAGTCCGACGGATTGTTGAATTGTCTATTTCTTGTCGATCGCGCAAGTCTTGAGCCCAAATGAAAATGTCTATCAAGGTCTTCCTCAAAGGTTCTCGTCCGACAAACATCTCCTCGAGTTCCTGTTCCAATTCTTCTTTGGTCATGTTGGATGAATATGACCGCTCCTGTTGCAGTTCTTCTTTGGTCATCTTGTGATTCAATGAATACAATTGATCCTTCGTTTCCGTCTTATCGATGTGCAGTGGTGGGGAAGATGAGAAGAAGCCACCAACTAACAGGAGCGCAGCCATAGCACGACCAGAAAGAGATCGGGGCATCTCCTTCGCAGTCATGTTCGCCATACTCAGCAGAAAGAATGAGAAAAAGCTTGAGTAAAATACAAGCAACTCTGAAACTCTGATTCCGAGGGTTCCACCTGATTAGATTTCAACCTGAGGATGACGGCAAGTGTCCTTCTTTCTTCTCCTGTTGCAAACCCAAAAGAGCACATGCTATTGCGTTGGGGCTTCGCTGGATGCTCAATCAATTGAGTGCCTCCACTCTTTTCTTAGGTAGCCTTTTGCAGAATACACACGTTACGAACTAGGTCGATCATTCAACGCATCACAGCTCAAAATCAGTTCAGACCCTGGCCTCCACTTCTTGAACGAAGCTCACGTTCTGAGTTTCGCAAACGCCCTGGCAAGAACAACGTTTCATTTAACTCCCACTGCAGAAAGAAAGTTGGCACCATTCAATGGCCGTGAAACCAACCCAAAGTGTTCCAAATTTTCTGCTTGCCGTATCCCAACACCGGCCTGAATCAAACGGTCATGCGCTGCTCAATGCTGGCAAGCCAAAAGTTCAGCCAATTCCATCAAAAGTGAAGACACACAAATGGCCTTTGCCACATGACCAACTTTGATTCAAACCATCCACCAAGAACTGAAAAGCAACTGGACATCACCTGCTCCGTTGCAAGCAACTCGTCCAAGACGTTTTATCTGAGAACAAAAAGGTGACAGGTGACACGGGCGACGGGTGTGATGCTTGTGATGAAAAATGACTCTGCTTGTAAGACTTGCGTCACAATGGGCTAACTGCATCCAGCTTGGTTGTACCTGCGGAACTGCCATGCACTCAAATGGCATCAAAGTCTCTTAGGTTCGACCAGATATGGGAGGCGACCAAGATGCTTTCTTTGCACAAATTCATAATTATTGAATATTATTGAAGTGCTTTTCGATTGCCCTTTACATTCTTTGAAAAGAAAAGCGCGCCGTTTCTACCACAGCGATCTGCGTGCTTTGGGCCTCGATTGGGCGTGAACAACCTGTGTGCATGCTTCCTGCTGCCATCATGTTATGGGTTGACTGGAATTCCACTACAATCTGACACGCCCCCTATGGCTGCAGGAATACAGTGTGCACACGGTCTGATCGTCTTCACATTGGAAGTTTGAGTCAAGTGGCTACAATCACTGGCGTGGTAACATCCTCCTGTACGAGTCACCCACCATTCCTTTCTCTCAAGTGTGAAACGCACTGATCCAAGCTTCTCTCTCACCACTTCATTCGCTTGGACCATGATCTCTTTGGCCCTTTTCTTCCATAGTTCAACAGCTTCCCAGGCCCGTGCACAATCATCAGCCATCTTCTTCATCTCGGCTGCATGCTCTTCTTCTGTGCCACCGGACCCAGTTCTCTCAGCTAACAGCCTGTTTCTCTCTTCCTTGACATTCTCCAACTCGAAACGTAGTTCACTGCACATATTGTACGTTCTCACCACTTCGTGTTGCTGGAGATCTCTTTCTCTTCGAATTTCTTGCATCCTCTCTTCCTGTTCAGCTACCACGACCTCTAGCTGAACAATTTGCCATTGCATGTTCACCTTTTCTTGGTCATCTTCCTGCCATGGCTCTTCAGGTTGTGGGACTGTCATCTCATCTTCACTTCTCTCACGCGGTACATCCGCTTGTTCTTGCCACTGCTCATTCTGCTTCTCCTCGATGACCTCCTCATAGGCTCGTCTTCCACTTAGCCATGCTCGTACTCCATCTATCGCCAGCCGTGCCAGGCTCAAGGCCCCAATCATCGACAGACACAGCATGGTCACCAGTGGCCGAACCCACCAGGATTCATCATCTTCTGTCTCATCCTTGGCTTCCTCTGGGGCATCTGCACTCTGTCCACCCTGCAGCAATGACAGGGCGATCACCAATGCCACCTTGGCATTTGCTCCCATTGTCTTGGCCATTTTGGTGGTGTTTTTCTTGAGCTCCTCCTTCAACTTGATCTCATCGTATTGGGCTTTCCCGATCTTCTCATCGTCGGCATCAACCATCCTGATGAGGTATTTGAGGCCGTTCATTCTCGCCTTGCTCAAAATTTTGGTTCCGAGGTCACTTGAATTCACTGCGGTCGGGATCCCGGTGACGCGGATCTCTTTGGCACTGACTCGCTGCTGTAGCCAAAGCAGCCCAGCAGCTATGTGCCTTGTTCTTCCAACTCCGATGCGACCGGCCAATCCTCTTGCAGCTGACGAGTCTGACCTGCACACCATCTCGGCCTCCTCATCTGTCAGGAATTGCCAGCAATGTCGAATGAAGATACCTTCACTGCAGCCACCAACCATAGCAACATACTCACTCTCTCCACTCGACAGGGCGATTGATCGCTGGCTTCTGACATAGCTCTCAACCAAACAGCCGTTGAGGAAGATCTGCACTGAGCTCACTGACTTTCGGCTGTCTCGCTGACCTGCATAGTCTGCATCACAAATGACTTCTATGACGCTCTTGCTGTCCTGGTCGATGTCCCACTCGTAGATGTTGTCGTCCGTGTTCAACATGCATCGACCTTTGGCTCCATGCTCAAACAAAATGCCTTCGTTCATGGCGCCGAGCAAGTAGGAACTTACGTGCTGCATTGCCCGCCAACCTTTCTTCGTCGGGCATGACATCAGACTTGCCAGTCCTTGAGCCACGTATTGGATGTCTGGTCTATCAGGTGCAATGTACAGGAGCTTCCCAACTGCACTCCTGTACTTGGTGATGTCTTCGTGGTTCATGGCCTCATCCTCTTTGCTGAGCTCGTTGAAGTTGCCGTCACCTGGAGTGGATCTGCATTTCTTCTGATCGACATTTGTCAACTTGGCCAGATCTTTTATGTGCTGCTGGTCTGGACGAATGGTGATGCCCTTCTCGATGATCTCCATCTGCTTCTTCAGGTAACTAAACTCACCTGAATGGAGTGGCCCCCGTTTCTCTATCTTCCAGCCCTTGCCCTCCATGAACTTGATGAAGCCTTCTGCTGTTTTCTCATCACCCACCAACAGCAGATCATCCACATGGATGGTGAGGTACAAGTGGCCGTCTTGTGGATCCTCCTCCTTTCGGGCCATCTTCATCATCGTTGGCTGCATCACGTCTTGCACCAGACCATATTCTTTGGCTACCTTGCAGAAGCCTTTGAACCATTGTGCTGCTTCGCTGACCAGGGAGGTTCTTCTTCAGCTTGTATTGAGCATTCTCTGTCACAATCATTGCCCTCTCATCCTCCGGCTGATCCATCAACAGGAAGGCATCTTTCACATCCAAGGTGTATAGTGCCAAACCTGTTCTCATCTGGAGTTGCAGCAACATTCGGACCACCACTGATGCTGAGGTTGGAGCAAAGGCATCTTCGGTGAAAACAGACCATTTGAATTGCCTGCCCACCAGCCTGGCTCGTCGGAACCATCCGCCCTGTTCATCTCGATGCTTCCATGTGATGACCATTTTGGATGTCAGCACATATGATCCGTCCTCAGCCTCTTCACCATCTTTCATCCTCTCGAGCACTCCCATTGTCACAAGGCGTGCTTCTTCATGTCTGCAAGCCTCTGCATCCAGCTTGACCAACTCCTCATCACTCACCAAAGGAGGTTTGCCCTTGCTGACGTCGATCTCTTCCTCTTCGTCACTGACAGCATTGAGTTGGTGCTGAAGGGCCTCTTCGGCGATCATCTCATCACCCCCTGGGAACTCCTCCTGGATGCTGCTCACACGACGTTTGGGACTCATTCGCCTTTTCTCATCATCTTCATCATCCCAAGGAAGTGCATATTCCCTCTTTCCAAGTAGGGGTGGTGTCACAGGTGCCAAATTTCCAACCACATCTTCTAGCCGCTGCCTCTTTGGACTAACTTCATGGGCACCTGGAGGGAAACTGCCAGCTGGTTCACCTCGCATGGCTTCTGGTATTGGAAGTCGGACAATCTTTCGTTTGGGGCTCTCTTCACCTTCACCCAATGGCAGTCGATGAAGGCTCGTCGGATCCAATGCCTTGGGCTTCGACGCACTGCTCTTGACAGCCACTGCCGGTGGTGCTGGCGGCCTTGCTGTTGAAGGTGTGGCTGGCACAGGTACAATCGTGGGAGTCCTTGCACCTGGTGTTTTGTTCCCTCCTGGCCTGTTGCCTGGTGTTGGAGGCGCTGGTGTTCGTGCTGGCGTCTTTGGTTGTCCTTCTGAAGGAAATCCTGGAGTGGTTGGTCCAAATGCATGACCGTACATGCCAACAGCCACTTGTTCACCAATGGTTTTGGCTTCCTTCTCAACTTGTTCATCTCCAGTTGCTCCCTCTGCTCCATCCGCCAGCCTTTGCCGGGCAGCGAACTTGGTCTTCATCAGGATGCCCTGCACTGAGTACTGCCAGGGTAGACCTCTGCAGTGGACCAGCATTTGACCATCGAACTGCTCGGGCAATCTCCTGATTGATCTTGCTTCAACTGCGCCGCAAATGTGGCTGTCACTCCAGGAGCTCTTTCCAACCCATACACCCTTTCGGTATACAGGGTCTCCTTTGTGCTTGAAAGAGGCAACATCTTTGAATAGCACTGTCTCACCCCATAGGGCCACTTTCCCCACATAACGTCGATCGGTGAGGAACTCAAAGGATGTGGACCCATTGATGACTCTGTACCTCAGCAGCAACCATGCAGCATGTCTGAAGCTCCAGGGGTAGCAATGCATGTCACCTGTCAACTTCACTCCAGCTTTCTCCTCTGCGAACTGTCTGAGGGTGTTAGCCAGTTTGCGAACTGATTGCACCGTTCGCTCGGCCTGACCGTTGGATGCGTGCTGATCTCTGGAGGTAGTTCGAATCTCCGTGGTCAAACCGAGTGTGGCTCGGGCATGTTGGATTGCCCTCAAGATCTGGCGGGTTGCTCGCTCGCCGTCGGACTGGAAGATGATAGGTTGTGTGTTGCACACCTGCATGCTGAATCTTGTGAGCTCCTCGGTGACTTGTTTGAGGGATGCGCTGCCCTTTGCCTGCACCGGAATGCATAGAGTAGCCTT